AAGAGATTCAGGCAGAATCGCAGATGGTGCTTGACAGGCTGACAAAGAAAGATTTCCAGGGATGCTTCCAGGTTTGGCAGCGGCGCTGGGATCGTTGTGTTCACTCCCAGGAAAACTACTTCTAGGGTGATGGATGAATGTAATACCTGAGATAAGTGTACGGGTTTATATACGCGCAGTCTTGAAACTTTCCGATCGCACCTCGTATCTCGGGGTTGACACCTTCTGACAGCTCCAGCGCTTTGGCGGAAGTCCTTGCGAATTGGGAATTGAAAACTTTGTCGCTTTTGACTTGCGTCATTAGAACCACTTCATTTTAGAGCGTCCAACGCGGAAGAACATTCACTTTGAACCACACTCATTTTCATGTACTGCTCTGGACTCGATCCCCGCGATCATAATTAGTTGAAGTTGATTCTTCTGGGATGTTAGACCGTTTAGTTTCGTATTGATTGAGTAACGTTTTATAGGTGCTTTATATCGTCAATTGAATAAAATTTTTCTTGGATATTATCCATCGTCTAGTAAATATAAAACGTAAAAAACGACGTTTCGGAGATGGGACTCTATCTCCGTCTTCAGGTTCCTACACAGTTGGGCCCACTAGATAGAGCTAATCCCTATCTCCGGATAGGGATTAGCTCTATCCCATCTCCGAAACGTCGTTTTTACGTTTTATATTTACTAGACGATGGATAATATCCAAGAAAAATTTTATTCAATTGACTCTTCACCATCGTCAGGAAGTTTTAGATTTGATATGCTTTTAATCGTATTTCCTACTATCCTTTTTAATATTGTCCTGTCATCTATGTCTCGGAGTGTGAGCTGTTTTGTTGCAACTACTGAGATTTCCCAGTGACCTTGAGGCATGGAATTCGGTGACACTTACTGAAACTGTATAAGGCTACATGAAATGCTGAAAGTTTAAATCTCCTCGTTGTGCGTTTTACTCCAGTCTTTTGTTACGTCATGTTTCTTCTTAAACTCTTTGAATGGGTTTAGTCCAATACTTTCTTTAGATCGTGGGACCATGCTTTACATATATTTAAAACGACAGGAAAAATTACAGTTTTATATATTCTAATCTTCAGGTTTTTATCTTTGAGAAGAAGGAAGGAACAACGTTCTGGAATGTGTTACTTTGAAAGGAAACCTCTTTCCGCCGGTGCCGGTAAGGTGAGGTCTAATTGTATTATTCTTGAAGTAAAAATGGCGCACCGAAGATGGAAACAATTAGCAAGTCTGATCCGCGTGATGAATAATGCACACAGAGCCTCAATGGGGCTTAAACGAACTCAGCAAGGTGTGTATCAAATTGCACTATCGGTCCGTCTGCATATTGGTGCCACTGCAGTGGCGGCTCGTATAGGCCTACAAAATTTGTAATTTATACGAAGCTGAAATTAAAATTTCGTATATAATTTTTCTCAAATAATGATCAGTTGTGACTACACTAAATTTCTGTGTGGTATAAAACAGACCGCGCTCTGCCTATGAAATAACTTGCAACATTTTTAAATATTATGAATACTTAACGAAATACAAAGTATTTTCTGATAAATAAAGTTGAGTATCATTAGTGTGACTAGTTTTGCAACGACAGAATTACATCTACTCGTAACCAGGAACGATAAATCGCTTCTGTAGTGAGCCCAAAGTCGATTCTACGACATCGAATTTAAATCAATGCAAAACTTTTGTGCGTACGTAAGCATGAATTGTAACAGAACCATTTCTAAATTTAGGCATAAAGTTGCAGAACTTCGCCGATTATTTTGTGAGTTATGAGAAAATTCGTAGCCTCCAGTGGGCAGTTTCTATATACAGAGTTTAATTAGCCTCGCTCCAATAGTTCACTGGCAGGCAAGTGGTGTAGCGTACTCAGTATTACAGACAATGGGGAAGGCAGGAAGGTGAGTAGACAGGCAGCCAGCCAGATGGATTCGGATAGGAAATGCAGATGGACGGATAGACAGACTAGCCGCATCTCAGTAGCGTGCTTCTAAATAGGATGCCGGATAGTAACTGCTAAGCAAATGATCAGAGAGGCTTCTAGCATTCTGGCTGGGGTTTTGTTTGCAGTACGTACTCGCCACTTTGACAAAATTCACACGTATAATCCTCGAAGGCTGAGTGAAGTTTCTGTAATTCAAAGAAGGACTTCAATGAGAGCGGTAATGCGTTTCAAAGGCACTAATGTAGAATTATTTTTATATAGTTTAACGACGATGTTTTACGTTTAGAAGTTATGTGACGTATTCGAAAATGTAAAATTAACCGTGTGTTTTGAGTAGGTATGGATTTTGAAGGAGGTGGCCTCAAAATATTTTAAGATACTGCTTTTCGAAGATGGGTGTCTTCCTGGGGATTGCGCAGTGTAGAGGTTTACCGACTATCCAATCTTAATTAATCGCCGCCATGATAACTACAGATCTTACCCTGTGTTAAATGTATTCTAACATGTATTGTGTTTGTTTGTAATTTATTTAACGATAATAAATTTGAAAGGATT